TCTATCAGAGATAGACATTACATGAGGGGAATAAATGTGCATTGTACGAGCTTAGGAACCTTGAATTTGCAGTTACATTTCATTATTTGTGTACAGATATTGGTCTAGAATATTTAATCAATTCGTTTAGTCTTGAAGATGTATTGATGCAGGGACTCCATTATGTTCTTGTTGACATTGTTGGTAGCTGGAGGTGTTCCTTTTTGTCACAGTTTGGAGTGAGTGAGCGAGTGAGTTTAGTTTTACGCCGCACTCAGCAATATTCCAGCTTTATGGCGGCGGTCTGTAAATAATCGAGCCTGGATCAGACAATCCAGTGATCAACAGCATGATCATCGATCTGCGCAATTGGGAACCGATGACATGTGTCAACCAAGCCAGCGAGCCTGACCACCCGATCCCGTTAGTCGCCTCTTACGACAAGCATGGGTTACTGAAGATCAATTCTAACCCGGATCTTCACGGGTTCTGCGCAGTTGGGAAGCGTTGACATGTGTCAACCAAGTCAGCGAGCCTGACCACCCGATCCCGTTAGTCGCCTCTTACGATGAGTATGGGTTACTGAAGGCCAATTCTAACCCGCACCTTCACGGGTTTCACAGTTTTGTCTTCTTGAGAGGGTACGTAAGTCTCAAAACATTTGAAGTAAATTTAGATATACCAGGTTTATAATAGTAGGATACTTGTGTTTTTAAGTGATGGCTAAATTTGTGCACAATCGCCAACGTATGAAGGGACCATGTAAGTCCTTCTAGGGTTCTCGCAGGTAGCTAAAGTCCCCATGGTGATCTAAATTCAGTTGCTGGCTGTCTATAGCATGTTTTCATTTTGTGTATTGTCCAAATAGTGCTATTATATAAATATTAAATGCCAGGTTTAAATCTGATTGATATTCTGGATATTTCACTGTCCCTTGACGACAGGTTATATACTATACATTTATTCCTCATCAATGTTTAATTGGTTCAAGTCAAAATATGGCTGAAATATTGCAGATGTGACGATATACTGGAGTATATTAACTCACTCACACTCAAATCGTTTTCATCAGTGATATGTCTTTATTACATTTGTTTTCAACCAACCCTGATCAAAAGGATAAAATGAAGCAATTCGCATTCTGTTTTCATAAATAGTAGAAATAATTTTGTTAAGTGTTTTTTTCGCAAGCCAAAACAAATTAATTGTGAAATTAAGTGAGCTTGCAGTGGGTCAAACTGTTTCGCCCATTGTGGACTGACATTTATTACTGAGTTTTGAGTCAAAGGTAATATTTTAGCCCATGGCCGATATATTTGTTATAGAGCTCTAAATTATCCGAATCAAGTCAAGAGATTGTATCATGATACTCAAAACGTACTTTCATCCATTTGCTACCTTCAAGACACGAAAACAACATGTATTTGGAGCAAATGTAAAGATTCTCGCCCATAGGCCAAATGTCTTTTCGCCCATGGGCGAGATTGTTTAAATAACGCTATAAATTAGTCGAAATTAGTCCTAACAGTTTACCCTTTTTGTCATGATACTTATAAACATACAATCATTCATTTACAACCTTCAAAACAAGGAAAAACATGTATTTTGAGTAAAAGTAAATATCCTCGCCCATGGACCAAAATGTTTTCCCCCATGGGCGAGATTTTTTAATATGGCTCTAAATTAGCTGAATTAAGTCAAAATGAGTTGAATTTTGTGTCATGATACTCATAAGTATACACTCATTGATTTACAACCTCCCAAACATGGAAAAACATGTATTTGGAGTAAAAGTAAATATTCTCGCCCATCACTCTAAATTAGCCGAATTAAGTCAAAATGAGCTGAGATTTGTGACATGGTGCTTATAAACATACTCATTCATTTACAACCTCCAAAACATGAATTCTGAGCGAAATTAAACATTTTCGCCCATGGGCCAACATATTTTTCGCCCATGGGCGAGATTTTTTAATATCGCCTTAAGTTAGTCGAATTAAGTCAAAATGAGTTGAAATTTGTGTCATGATGCTATAAACATGCACTCATTCATTTTACAACCTCCAAAACATGAATTCTGATCGAAATTAAACATTCTCTCCCATGTAGCCCATGTTCTTCCATGGGCCGGCGAATCAGGAGCTAGTGAGTTTAAATTTAAAGTTTTCGAAAAAATACTTTTCGTGTTTTTCATCCTTGGCATATATATTCATAACAACTGCATGTTTAATTTGGTCAGATCCTTGTTAGAAAGTACCCACAGTGCGGAGAGTTTCTGGACTTTGTGAGGTCCAAATTCCGAATTGTGACATGTTACAGTTAAATACAGGATTTGACTCATTAGAATATTGTTTTGTTATATATGCAAAGGATAATTTTATACGTCGTTGGTTAAGGGATGGCTCATCTGCCTCAACGATTTGAGACTGTCAACAGGATGGGAGTTCTAAAGGACCAAGACAAAGTCTTAGACATTGAGTGGTGGACAGAGTGTAATAGTTTTATGTTGCTGTTTGCAGGCTCCACCATAGACGATGGAGCCACAATCCAAGTTTGGAACGGACCAGTGATCGATATAGATGGAGCCAGGAGGGTAGCTTGATCCCTCCCCATTTAAAATTTAGAAACCACTATCAACAAGTCAGGGTGCCTTCAGGCATTTAGTTTTAAGGGCTTTAATATATGGCATAAAGTTTAAGTGTGGGTCAAAATTAGACCCAAAAGAAATTCAAGCCTCCTTGACAACTTTTGATGGGCGTGCGATCTAGAGAAAGTTCATGAATGTCTTTATGTGGTTTGTATTTACGGCAGAAATGTATGCATTTAGTTTTCGATTTAGAAAATTTAAAACATTTCAAGACCACTATTTATTTATCTTGTTTTAAACACGACTGCAGTTGCCGTTCAATAGTATGCACATTTCTACCTACGACAGGAAAGCATTTAAAATCATCTACAAATAACGATCCATCCCTATTGGATCGTTTAAAACCTTTGATAAACTATTTATCTTTTGGTAAATAGTGTGACAGAATAAAATACTGCCTTGTAGGAACACCCACAGTCCTGATTAGCAATGATCAGAGGGTAGAACCCCACAGGGGACTTGGGGTGTCTGTCATTTAAAAGTTATTGGCAAGCTGAGGCAAACGGCCTCGCAATCCAAAGCCATGTAAATCTAAAAAAGATAGACACAGCATGTTGTTGATTAATTAGAACGTTTTTAACAAATGATTCCAAACGCACTAAGTGATCGACAGCACTTCTGTTTTTACGGAAACCAAATTGTATAGCTGTTATGGTTTTGCAAACACACCTAGTTAGTGAAATCGGTCGATATTTGACGGATCCGTGTGATCACGTCCAGGTTTAGGTATTGGTACTACTATAGCGTCACGCCATGAGGGAGGAAATTTACCTGATGTCAAAATATCATCAAAAATATTTAAAAGAGTTTCTAGACAGGATTCTGGTAAGTGCTTCAGGAGTTGATAATGTATGTTATCAGCTCCTGTGGCAGTATCGTGAGCTTGTTCAAGAGCAGTATGGAGCTCATGAATTGAAAATAGTTCATTATAGTCTTTCCCATTATCTGAATTGAAATTAATAGGTTTCTTTTCTTGTTGTTTTTGGATATAATATTGTTTGAATTTAGGCACATAATTAGAAGAGGAAGAATGTTTAGCAAGAGTTTCACCCAGTTTATTCGCTATATCTTATTTATTAGTAAGTAATTGATCTCCATGTTCAAGATGATGGACACTAGATTTAATACCTTTACCTTTAATTTTCTGCACCATGTTCCACACTTTAGACATGGGCGTTCGAGAATTTATTTTGGATACATTTTTTTTTCAAGATTGGCGTTTTTTCAGGTACGCCGCGCTTTAGCATTTACAATTTTTATATTTATTTAAGTTATGCACCATAAGGTGGCGACGGAAATAATGTTCTCCTTTTTTTCCTTGCCTTCCTAGCTTGTTTGCATTCATCGTCGAACCAAGGTTTTCAAATGTGTGGACTTGCAGAGGACTGTGATATATACTCATCAGCCATGATGTTCAGTTCATCAGAAAAGCATTTGACAGCATCAGGAACGTCAATAAAAAGTTCAGGCTAAAGTTTTGCAGCACACAGTGTTGCACACTACTGTTTATGGGACTGCGGTGATCACCTCCGTGGTCCTTCATAGAAGGTTTCATAATGTTGTGGTGGTATCTCCGAATGTTTTGGAAGGAGGAGAATGGTTTGTTGCGGTAGAGGGCTGCCCGTAATCATTCTTTCAACAAAACCTGGCAAAAATATATAAACCATATTCTGAAATGGTGTATTTTGATATTTGCAGAGTTTTTGGCATTTTATATTTCACCAATTCCAAAGAGTGATTTGGACTTAGTCTCAAAGGAGTGGGAGGGGATCCCAAAACCGTTAGACACTTTTTAGCCGAACCGGGTACGTGTATTGACCTAATGATTAAGTGATGCCTCTTGCTATTTTTTAAGAACATGAATACTTTTGTTTCCTGTTTTCATGTCAGCAAGTTAGTGTATATAAGTATTCTTTCATGAATCTGTGTGCACACAAAGACCAGGTTGTCATATGGTGCCTTGTGGTACTTTGGTTGTAGAATTATGTGTTGTCTGTTTCCATGGCAGCAAGTTTGATTTTGACTCTGGTCATAGTGTTGTGTTTGTCAGGATTTTTTCATGAAACAGTGCAAAAACAAAACCCAGATTGTCAACTGGTTTCATGTGTGTCAGAAATGGTAGTTGTTAAATGAACAACACAGATTAAAATCCAGTGAAACATTAAAGCTTAAGTGTAGCAAGCCAACTAGTTTGGGTTATGTGAGATAGCTATAACGCTATTTTGGGTTTTGCGTCTTGCATAGCAAGAGTTAAATAGCTTGAAACCAGATCAATGTGAAGCTTTTCGAGTGTTTGAAGGTCTAACTGAAACGCGTATTGACAAAAATTACACCAACACATCTCAATATCTTGTGAATAATCTAATAACATTATGCGCTGAGTGAAGGCACTGTTTGTAGTGAAAACCTGTTTGACAACTCAAACACAAACAATGATGATGGCAGTGACAATACTTTATTACCCGTGAGATAATTTTTGTGTAAAAGTACAGAGCTCAAACATTGATAAAAGGATGAAATCATTTTCATTACATACAATAAATAACACACATATAACACGCTAACAAGGTAAGACAAACACTAGGAATCATTCAAAAGATTAATACGGGTGGGAACAAAGGATATCATGGCACGATTGGATTTAAAACGGGGTAAATTATAACGGCGCCTAGATGGCAGTAATTTATACTCATAGAGGATGGGATGATCTGGATAGGATATAATCTTACGGGCTGACTTGAGAACTCTTTCTGTTTCTGGTGGGACAAAGGGACAATGTTCCATACCAGCATTGTACAGAAAAAAACAGAACGCGCGCATGTCTGCCGACGGGCGTATTGATTAACTGTTTCGAAAAAGTACTGACTTTTCTGGAAATCTCAAGTTCTCTTAATCCGAAATCGAAAGCAGTGCGCTAATATCGAAACAACAGTTACGTTCATATTGTTATATACGTTTCAACCACCTATCAAGCATAACGCAGAGGAAATAGGTTTTAAACATACATTGAATATGCAATGATAATCTATCTATACATTGATTTGACATGCTTCTGTTGGACGTTTCTATGTTTATCACAGGTGCATGTAGAAAGTTGAAAGCACAGTGACATAACTACTATAAACCGTTTGAAAAGCACCAATTTACATTTGCATTGTCCTCAATTACCTTTATCTGAGATTTTGTCATGTTGCTTAAAGCGATGGCCCGTTTGCAGATCACTCTGTCCCGACACCATTAGCAGCTCTCACCTGTGCATAGCGGCCTTTCAACCACACCTTGATATACCACATGCTGCACCCTGGCCATTATGTAGTCTAGCCAGTCACGACTGTCGACACGCAAAATACTCTTCCTAAAAGCTAAATTATTGTTTGTCAATCTGAATTTTTGTCCAGACAATTTATTTATTTACTCAAGAGGCCACAGGCCTACAGTACATTACAAACATCATACTGTGAGTTACACATTTACTGAAGTGCACTATTTGTTTCTGTATAACATCGCATGATAAATAAACATAGACAGATTCTGTAGTGCATCATGGAATTGCTGTTTCATTTAGACTATCATTTTAGAGATACTGACAATTGCATTATTGCAAATGGACAAAAATTATGTATATATTTCCAATAAAATGTACATCTTTTTACGTGAAGGTAAACGTAAGTGCAAAAGAATATTCATTCTCGTGTATCCTCAGAAACAGATTCAATTATCCGTAAAGTGCAAATTACACGAATGGATCAATGAAAATAAGTGATGACACCCGGTGTGAGGTGAAATTGGGTTTAACGTCGTGCTTGAGAATATTTCGCTCATATGACGACGTGCATGCGTGTGTATGTGTATGTGCGGCTGCTTGTACTACCCCAGACTTAAGCTGGTTTTATAGTGCTAGCCCACTGAGATACCATGCCGCACTGAAGCATGAATACCCCACTCAGACACATTATACTGACTCCTAGCTGACCAGTCCTTGTTGTACCCATTAATGCCGAGCGCCAGGCAGGTACCAACAAGTACAATATTTTAACGTCTTTTGGTATGATGCGGTCGGGGATCGAACCCGCGACCTTCCGCTCTCCGGGCGGACGCTCTAACTACTGCACCACGGAGGCGGTCGACGCCTGGTGTTCACAAAAAGGGTCAGTGTGCCCTGCCCCTGCCCTGCCCTGCCCTGCCCTGCCCTGCCCTGCCCTGCCCTGCCCTGCTGCCCTGCCTGCCCTGCCCTGCCCTGCCCTGCCCTGCCCTGCCCTGCCGGTATCAACCAAAACACAGCCTCTTTCTTTCCCCTAGTTTAAATAAAAACAAAGTCAAAGTCAAATTATTATTATGCTTATTGTAAAAAGGGTAGCCGGCCCATATACATTGGGATTATCCACATACATTATACATATGTTGCAAAAAGTAGTAATCAAACAGTGAATCATGTTAAAGGCAATAGGTTACATTACAAATAGTGAATTACGATGGATCTACAAAACCTTCTGTTGATAGTCATTGATAGTGTCTTGTTGATGATTCAATGGAACAGCAGTGACAACGATCTGGACAACCATCTTCAAAAGACATTTCTTTTAGCGAGATACAGCAATACAGCGATACAGACAGCTCTTCACAAATGTTCACAAATGTTGACTTTCAGAGTATGTAGTAACATCTATTCAGAAACAAATCAATACAATAGCTATTAAATATCTTCAATGTCTCTAACTATATTATCCCTATAGTAATGCAAACAGTTAGATATTGCTTAGCATGTACACACATGGTTCTTGTATTCACTTTCCAGACTGATCTGTGTTCATCTTTCCTAACTGAAGCTTTGACAGTTCTTTCCCAAGTTCAGGGACACCATCCGGTGACGATGCTTCAGATTCAATACTGCCCTCACTGTCACCTCCACTGACATTAGACTGGCCCCGTGTTTTTACGTTCCCGTCGTTGTCAGTGAGGTCCAGCTTCGATATATCCACTTCACCTGTATAGAAGACGTAAACCCATACGTTGTCCTGCCGGAGTGTTTTGTAGGTGCTTCCTTCCTTTCTCAGAAACGCGTTGGTTCGTTCATTCAATTTAATGAGGTGCCTCTGGCAGAAGTCGTCAAGATCCTTATCAGTCCTTGTAAGGACCAATATGACGTAGTGATTACCATCTTTCAAACGATAGAAATCGGCGAAGTACAGACTGGCAGAGTCATCAAAGAGGCTCTCCAGGGGAACCACCACTCTGGTGTCTCCATAAGGGGATGTAGTTGGTAGATCACCCTTCCAAAGGGTCACCGCGAAAAACACACCTTTAAGTTTCCCGTTTATGGGACAGTTTGGATTCCCAAAGTTGTCCTTTACACTTGGCATCATGGTTTTATTTTCAAGTTGGTAGAAATATTCAGCAGTTGCATTGCGGTAAAGGCCACTGACTTTATCGTGGCAGTGATTTACCAACAGTGATCTTTCAGCCTTCGTAAGTAAGAAGATTTTTCTGAAATGAATTTTTTTTTGCAATAAAATTGACTGTAAATTCTTGGTAATAGATACGTCTCGTTCAGGATGTCATACCATTTGTTTCACAGTGTAGTGTGTCGTACATATATTAGTTGATATCGCAAATTATTAAACAATAACTAAACCTGTAGGAAACATGGACATCATATGGAAGAAAACAAGCAGCACATTTAGTCACATCAGTGTTTATTGAACTGAGAAATATGTATTGATTGTTTATCTTTATGGTTGTGGAATGAATACAAAGTTTTCCCAAACACTTAATGTATTTGACCTTTTACTATGTTAAATAAGAACCACGTTCAATTCAGTCAATACATTTGATTTTACAAAACCAACACACACGACACAAGAATATAGGAAAACTTCTTTGTCCCATGGGGATTCTATCACTTAACGTGGTAACCATAGATATTGTTATATCTGTCATCTGATGTTAGTTTAGAAAATTATCTATGAATTGTTGGACATCCTTATTGATAACGTAAATGTGTCTCTTTATCATTTGGGTCTTTATGGGGCGGTGGGGTAGTCCAATAGAGAAAGCGTTCGCTCGTCACACCGAAGACCCGGGTTCGATTCCTCACATGGGTCCATTGTGTGAGTCCCATTTCTCGTGTTCTGATTATTGCTGGAATATTGCGTAAACCACAACCCACTCACTCACTCACTCATTCAATGTGCTTTTAAGACAAATAGAAAGGTTCGCTCGGATTGGTCAAATCAGACAAGGGAATAGACTAAACTTGAAGGAATAGACTAAGACAGCCTTTAACTTTCAACTCGTGTGAAACTGCCTTAGCTTTCCTCTCATACCACATTTGTTACTGTTATGGCAACTCTGCCTAACAACGTTTGTTGTCCGTGTATGGTTGCTCTAACAGCTCCATGTACACGTGCTCTATACGGTGAACAATATATCAGCTAGAATGGTTGAGATAAAATAATCCATTCCAGTTGATTATGGTACAGATGCCTTGTTTCATGTCATTGAAGTAGACATGCCTATACAGTCTATTATACGAATCTGTTTGAGAAGTAAGCAAAGAGTATTGTAATTACCTAAAACAGCGCCTCGTCCCTCTGCCATGTTGAAACTTTGCGGGTGTACTGTTGATGTGGTGGCAAGTTGGGTCTACCTGCATACGTTAATGCGTCGGGACTATATATACTGAATGACGTTATCCCTTTGTCATGTTGAAATGTAAGCCGGTGGAATGGTGACGTCATGAGCCCTATCTGCACAGATTGAGTTACAACAATGAGCTAAAAGCAGATATGCGTGCAGAGAATCTGTGCATAAAAGGTAATGTAGTTGTGAATCACGCGACAGCACGAGATCCGACCTGCAGCATGTGATTGTGAACAGAGATAGAGACAACAGCACTATGAATGGGTCCATCTGCACTCGATCCCCGTATGATAAGGTAGCAGAGCATGACGCCACGAAGGAGGAAACTTCCCTGCTGTCAAATATGATCAAACATGTTCAGAGACTGCAGTTATCAATGCCGCTGGACAGATGTCACCAGAAATAGAATGTGAAAAAGACAATAGTACCATTAATCCTGTCTTGAAACCTCGCAACAGCAATGAATGTCAGTCATGTGATATATGCGACCTTCCAATGACTTCACAAGATCTGACAAACAAAGCAGTTAGAAACTTCTCATTATTGGCAGTAAGATGGATAGGTTAATCCAGTGTTTACAGAGCCTGTCGAAGGATGGAAAACGTATTCGTCCAGTATTTACTTCAATCCTAAAAACCAAGCCTCTTTAGGGGCTTTCAAAGGTTTAGAGCCTAAAATATTAAGAGGCAGAACATCGATGCAATCCCCATTTATTGTTTGACATGATCGAAATTCAAGTCGATGCACTTGGTCCATCTTGTCTGCCCGGCACTAATGACTTCTCTGTAGAAGTCCTGTATTCAGGTCTACACAGCTCGAATGTCCTACCTTGGAGGAAGCACTCGTGTAGAGCAACCTCCTCGTGGCGAGTTCTAGGTAACGCTAATAGCTCTTCCCCCGTTTGTACACGGGGTAGAATGTGTCAACATTACCCTATTGCTTAGGCGACCGAATTGGGCAACCTGTTTGCCATGATTTGCGCCCGTGTCGGTGGAGGAAGGGATTCTGATGGTTCAGGGCACTGGTTCCAGGAATAACGTTCCTTGCCCAACACACTACTTCGACCCTAACTTCACCTTGACGGGTGATAGAATGGGCCCGGTTCTATCCTTTGGCTGGTCATGCGTGTCATGTACATGGTTATTTGCAATTTTTTAAATGATACCACGTGTGTATAACTGTAAACATTTCATGAGCAATATTGTTCGTTTTGACTGGAGTCGTATGTCCAGAAGGCGGTGGCTCATGGGAATATCTGTGTTTCGTGAATGTCATGGGCCGAGTGATTGAGTGAGTGAGTTTAGTTTTACGCCGCACTCAGCAATATTCCAGCTATATTGCAGCTGTCTGTACATAATCGAGTCTGGACCAGACAAAATAGTGATCAACAGCATGAGCATCGATCTGCGCAATTGGGAACTGATGACATATGTCAACCAAGTCAGCGAGCCTGACCACCCGATCCCGTTAGTCGCCTCTTACAACAAGCATGGGTTACTGAAGGCACATTCTAACCCTGACCTTCACGGGTGTCAGGGGCCGAACCAGCCTGACATTTGATCTTTTAGATTTCTTAGCTATCTATGTCTGTATGTCGAGAGTATAACATCCCTGTAGCCTAACGTCCTAGTCGACACTCGACGGCGAGTGGGGGGCAGGTTTGTCGAATATTATTATTATACTATGACTCAAAACACGCATTCTGGTTCCTCTAAAACAAATAAGCTGATGAAGAGATATACCCTTTATTGAAAGAATCCTGACAAAGGTTTTTGGGTAGAGCAACTGTTGACGGGAGTTCGTTAAATATCAATCCTTTTGCCGTCTCCAAGGACACTCTGCAGTGAGATGAATAATGGCATTCGTCTCCGGAATTGTTCACTCTTGGTTGAATGTGTACGAAGGCAGCAACTTGTCAGTCTTAAAGCAGTTTGTAAACAAACACGTTGTTTCCTCAGCGCATAAGACACTGAACCCTTGCAGTAGTATTGTAAGAGACATGCCCCGTTGACGTGTCAAAAGAAGAGATTGTGGCCGAGTTGAAAGACCAAGGCGTTACTACTGTAAAGCGTTTTACCAGAAAACAGGATTCAAACATAGTGAAAACAAATAATTTGACTAAGCTTCCTAAATCCATCCAGGCTGGATACTGTAATATCGGAGTGGAGGTATATGTACCAAATCCACTCTGGTGTTACAAGTGCCAAAAGGTTGGACATGGTGCAAGGTCTTGCACTGTTCTCGCTGCAGTGGAAGTCACGAGAATACTGACTGCAATCATGCCACACAAAGTGACCGACTGACATCCACCAAATCTTGCCCCAAAGTTTGAATTCGAGGTCAAAATGATTAAAATCAAGTGCACCAATAACATTCAGCAGATTTTATGGTATTAGTCCAATGGAATTACAGAGGTCAAAGGAACAATTTTCCTGATCTACAGTTATTATCGCAGGATTTGAAGCATCTGCATTTAGTCTGCAGCATCTGCATTAAGTCTACTTGAAAAGTACAGATGGTGTTCGTCGGTACAATTCATTCCATTCGTTTTCACTTCCAGGTGATAAAGCTACAGGCGGCGCTTTTATTTCGCTTAGGCAGGGTGTTATCCACAGCCCTGTCTGTCTTAAAAGCCGTCTGCAAGCTGTTGCTGTCCGCCTTTCACGCTGTGTCCCCTGTACATCTCCATCTTCAGATCTTCAGCAGTCCGAGCTTAAGTATCTATTCAACCAGGTTCCCAAACCCTGTATTATCATGGGTAACCTTAACGGACATACTAGTAACCCTTGAAAGTTTGTTGGGAAGTAACGATACTAGCAATAAAGGGAAAGTCCTCGAAGACTTCATTTCTAATAATAATCTATGCATATTTTATGATGGATCATCCACTTATTTACTTCCTACTCCAAGAGAACGTATTCTGAACTTGATTTGTCACTCTCAGATCCTGATCTTTGTGGAAGTGAACAATTTCCCACAGTTCTCTCAGCTATAAATTAAGCTGACGATCCACCTGCAACACGTTGGAATTTTAATAAGGCTAATTGGCCTTTTTTCAAACACTTTGTACTGAATAATTAAAATCCAATCTTTTTGTCCCGGATCCTACTCCATTGCTCTCGGATTCACTGAATGATATCGCTGATGTAATTATGCCTAAATCCTCTGCTAAGATACATTGTCGTAAACCATGGTTTTCTGACGACTGTAAACAAGCTAGGAAGTATAGGCAAAAGGCAGAGAAGTACTTTCACCGCCATCCGACAGTTCATAATTTAATAAATGTAAAAATAAATAATGCCAAGGCTCGACGTACTTTTAAGCAAAGTAAACATCAGTCTTTGAAGAACTTTGTATCAAAGATTAATTCCCATACACCAATGACGAAGGTGTGGAACATAATACAGAGAATCTCAAAGATGAACACAATAAATTAAGTGATAAAACTGACATTACAGACAAGTTGGGTGAAACTTTAGCTACACATTCTTCCTCATCAAATTATAATTCAAAGTTTCACAAATATAAAAATCATCAAGAAAGTTGAAAATTAACTTTCATTCTCATAAGATTATACTGAAGTATGTCCACTCCATGAGCTGAATACTGCCTTAGCGCAAGCTCATGATACGGCAACAGATGCTGATAATATCCACTATCAGCTCTGAAACATTTACCCAATGCATGTCTTGAAACACTTCTGAACATGTTTGATCATATTTGAAAGCAGGGAAGTTTCCACCCTCGTGGCGTCATGCGATTGTTGTATCAATACCTAAGC